CCTTGTATGCGTTCATTTTCAGGGTGCTATGTGTTCGGGTGAATACCGTAGCCGGGAATGGTCCTTTTTATTCTTTTTCTTCCCCTGGTGGGTGCTATGTGTTCGGGTGAATACCGTAGCCGGGAATGGTCCTTTTTATTCTTTTTCTTCCCCTGGTGTCGGTGGCTGGCCTGTCGGGTGCAGTCTTGCTATCTGCCATTCACCCTTTTTCCTTTTCTCCCACTTCTGAATCGTCCGCCCTTTTCTCCCACTAACTAGTCATCCGCCCTTTTCTCCCACTTCCAAATCATCCGCCATACCATCGTTTTCTGATTCCGGCGATACTGCGCAGGCCCTTCTTGTGTGCCTCGCTGCCTGCCCCCACTTCTATCCTTTGTTCTCTCCCTCCTTGTTAGTGTTCTCTTTGATCCATTTTCCAGCAATAGACTGGCGCATATAGAATTCTCGCAAAAAACAAAAAAGTGTTCTCTTTGTGTTGTTCTCGCCACCAATAGATTGGTGCATCCAAGATTCTCGCCAAAAAAAAAAAGAAAAAAAAAAGGTGTTCTCTTTGTGTCGTTCTCCACTTGTAGGGCGGTTGCTTTTTCTCAAGTGTGTCTGGCCACTTAGGATGTGCCAAATAGTCAGTGCCTGTTTGTATGAAGTGCCTGTGCACTATTACCTTTCCTCCCGAATACAATGCACGGCAAGGTTGCATACCCCGGCGGTCAGCAACCCTCGACTAGTCGGATGCTGACTAGCCGACCAGTTGGCTGGTTGGCACCTACCAGTCGGGGGTCGTCGGCACCCCGCACGGATTCTTTCTTTTTTTTTTTTTTTTTTTTTTTTTTTTTTTTTTTTTTTTTTTTTTTTTGGAAAATAAAGAAAAATACCACCCCTCCTCCCCCCCCCCCCCCCCCCCCCCCCCCCCCCCCCCCCCCCCCCCCCCCCCCCCCCCCCCCCCAACCCCCCCATACATACACCCCCTCGTTCCCAGAAGTTTCTCAGAGGATTTGGGCTGTACTCAGCAAGCGCAGTACAGCCCCCAACTCAGATTTGAAAAAACAAAATGGATGGCTGTTTTTTTTTCTGACTGGTCAGCTGACCGCTGACCGGTCGGCCCTACTGGTCGGCTGCAATACGGTCGGCAGTTGGGGTAGGCGGGTATGCAACCCTGATGCACGGTCATTATAGCTGTGCATTTGGGATATCTTTCAGCCTAAATACATCTATAATGAGTATTAACGACCGTACGTTGTGTTCAGGGGAAGAAGGTAGGCGGCTGAATGCCGGATGACAGACATTCATCTTCTGGGATCCTCATATTATTTATTTATTTAATTATTTATTTATTTATTGAACAATTTCTTGATTTATGCGTGTCATCCTTGCACAGGGGCCATGCTAATCTTCATTCTCTGTATCGTTCCAATTTTAACGGATGTCCCGAAAGATAGTGGGGTGAATTGGCGAGCCTAAAGTCTGCTGGGCTTTGTATATGATGTGAGTATGCGATAGTTTGCTTTGATCTTTGCCGTGTCCATCAGTGTCCGAATTTCGCTGCGTCCTCGCGGTGTTAAGAGTCCTGTCGGCCCGCCGGCTTGCCCGCATGCTTCACTTCAGAGCTCGCAAACTCCTCCCCCCATGCCAACTCCCGGGGCACACTGAACCTGCATAACATTTGTGGCATCTGCAGCCATAACTGCAGTTTAGAAATTTCCCACAACCTGGCCCGCTTACAGCTGGGCCCGATTTGAGCGTGGAAACCCAGGCCCGGCCGAGCCCAGGCCTCGAAGAAGAATTGCAGCCGAACCTGCCCAGACCCAGACATATATTTTTCACCATATGTCTGCCCCTCTCCCCAGACCCTCTAGCATAATCCCACCCACACCTGCCCATAGCTGGCATTTCTTTCACCACCCGCTCCTGCTCACTCCCGCCCGTACCCGCCTGTACACTCGAGCGTGTGATCCCACAGGCCTTCAGTCAGAGCATGAGGAGGCTTTTTTTTTTCTTTTTTTTTTTCTTTTTTTTTCTTTTTCTTTTTTTTTTGTAAACACACCTCCCATTTGAGGAGGCTATAAAGGTGGGTCAAAAAGAGAAAGCTGCTGAACTAAGACGACAAGGGGTGGAGGAGGCGGGGGGAGGGGAGGGGGCACAGGTCGAGAGAATGACTCCGACGGTTCACGACTCTACATCATTTTACATTGACTAGGCTACCAGCGTGGCCCGGGACAACTTGCAACAAGGTCCGAAGGAGATTATAACTCAAAAAACTTGTCGAGGCTACCCGGTTTGCCTTGTTCATGCTGCTCTGTGTGCTTTGCTGTCTTTTCCCACTTGCAACGAGGTCCGAAGGAGATTATAACTCAAAACACTTGAAAAAAAGTATTGAGACTCGCGGGGGGATTCTGCAAGACTGTTGAGGGTGCAACCTCCACACAGGGTTCGAACTCCTCACCAGTTCGCGCAGGTGCGGCGAAACAGTCTGTCACTACTCCTGTGTTCATTCCGTGCGCCTGCGGTGTATTTACGTCGTATTGTCTGTTCTCCATCTTCGTATCTTTCGTATCTGTGCATATGGGTGTGGGTCTCTGGGAATAGTCCTCTTCTTCATATCACTCTCTTGTCTTTTCATCTTCCAATTGTGGTTCAGCTTCAACACGGTCAATTGCTTGAGCGAAGAGGATCATCTGACGCCGTCTTCAACGGACGAAACACCCCGTCAGTATCACTGCATCTAGACTGAAAGTTGCCGCAAATTCAGCTATAATGACCGTACGTTCTATTTGGGTGAAGACGGTAGGCCCAGTACCTTTATACCACAGGGTCAGTGAAGCTTCATGGCAGGGGGGATAATATGCTTTGAAATACCCAACACCCACACACCCACACCCACGCACACCCACCCACACCCACACACCCACACCCACCCACACACACACACACACACACACACACACACGAGATCTCACAATGCATGCACACACACATGGAAGGTGAAATGACGTGACTTATGAGAACACACCCACAGTGAAGGACTGTCAGACAGACATAGAAAGTCCCTCCTTCTGGAAGTCCTCTCTTCTTCTTCTTTTCTCCTCCTCAGGATTAGCGACATTAGTTTCATGGCTAGAGTGTGGCTTTCCTCACAAACAAAAGTATGCTGGGTGACACATTTGCAGTGTGGGGAAACTCTCTCTCTCTCTCTCTCTCACACACACACACACACACACACACACACACACACACACACACACACACACACACACACACACATGCACACACACACACATATGCAGCTGATCTGGCCCTCCCAAAGTCCAGTTTGTTCCGCAGTGGCACTTCAGCAGTGCGTCGTGGTGGTGTTGTGAAACATAGGGATAGAGAACTGCCCGGCACCCAGTAGGTTTGCAGAGGTATCGGGCTGATCTGGCCCTCCCAAAGTCCAGTTGGCCAATTGAACCATCCGTTGCTGGCATGGCTGATGGCATCCTCCCAAGTCTTGCCGAGGATCTGGGCTGTTTGTGACCGTCATGGACAGCCAAGATCCAGGGCTGATCACCAAAATCAGATCGGCGGCAAACCTGGGCCGTATGCTGGAGGACATCAGCCCACATTCGCAGCCAATCACCCAAATCTATTACGATCGGCTGTACATCTGGGCTCTGTGTGCCCGCAACTGGCACAGATCACCAACCGATCCAAGTTTTGGTGACCGGTTAGCGCTCTGGGCCATCGTCCTCTAGCACCCCGCCCAGATGGCCTGGTAATGACACTTCAGTGCGATTTCTTTACATGGTTGGAGTCACATCACACATAACCAAATCACATCACATATAACCAAACTTGTTCCGAACTGCCAGCCGCAACCATCCACACTGAAGTTGTTCGGACAGCTGAGATGGTGCAAGTGCAAGGCTGAAATGACACAAGATGACATGGGCGGTTGAAATGGCATGACAAATGCATGCACAGAGATAGCATGCAAAAATGATCGGGGCATACTCACAGTAGCACTTTCCTAAATGTATGACTGCAATTAGGAGCGGACCTGGATGAATCTGACCTTAATCACGTCCAGACTCAAGTAGAAAACGCCGATTTAGGTGTTTGTCCCACTGTGAGCATGTTGTCAGGCAGACAAATGGGATGAAGAAACAAGCTGATGGCAAGCAACCGAGCGGAGCACATGCGAGCGCACACGAGAGAGAGAGAGAGAGAGAGAGAGAGAGAGAGAGAGAGAGAGAGAGAGAGAGAGAGAGAGAGAGAGAGAGAGAGAGAG